TCCCTCGTAACTCTGGGACAAGCCTCGTCGCAAACCTCTGAACCTTCTCCAGTTTCTTTATGTGTTTCTTCAGGTGGGGGCTCCATGATGGCGCGGCATACTCTAAGACGGGTCTCACGTAGGCAGTGTAAAGCGCCCTAAAAGCTTCCTCATTTAGGTTTCTGAATGAAGTTCTAATTTTCGCCAGTGTAGAGTACGCTGCTGTCGTTATCCTATTTATATGTGCCTCAGGAGTTAGATTAGGTGTCACATCCACTCCCAGGTCTCTTTCTCGAATCGTTACAGGTAGGCTGTTCCCCTTCATTGTGTACTGTCCCTTTGGTCTCCTGTCACCTGATCCCATTTCCATAACTTTACATTTACTGGTGTTAAACTCCAGTAGCCATTTCCCTGACCATCTCTGCAGCCTGTTTAAGTCCTCTTGGAGGATCCTACAATCCTCGTCTGTCACAACTCTTCTCATTAATTTTGCGTCATCTGCAAACATTGACATGTATGATTCCACTCCTGTAAACATATCATTTACGTAAATTAGAAAGAGGATTGGTCCCAGCACCGATCCTTGAGGTACTCCACTTGTTACTGTTCGCCAGTCCGACTTTTCGCCCCTTACCATTACCCTCTGGCTCCTTCCTGTTAGGTAGTTCTTCACCCATACTAGGGCTTTTCCGCTTACTCCTGCCTGCCTCTCAAGTTTGTATAGCAGTCTCATGTGCGGTACCGTATCAAAGGCCTTTTGGCAGTCTAGAAATATGCAGTCTGCCCAGCCTTCTCTGTCCTGCCTTATCCTTGTTACTTTATCATAGAATTCTAAAAGGTTTGTTAGGCATGATTTCCCTGTCCAGAACCCATGTTGGTGCTTGTTTACAAACCCAATGCTCTCCAGGTGCTCAACAAGTCTTAGCCTAATTATTCTTTCAAGCATTTTGCAGGGGATGCTTGTCAGTGATACGGGTCTGTAGTTAAGTGTGTGTGTGTGTGTGTGTGTGTGTGTGTGTGTGTGTGTGTGTGTGTGTGTGCGCGCGCGCGCGCCGAGGACACACCTGCCTGGCCTACACCCCACGCAAGTCTCCACCCCCCCCCCAAGTGGCGAGTGTCTGATCAATGAGACTATTGTTGGTCGCATGCTCAAATAACCCGGCTGATCACCTGCTTCCTGCAGTAACATCTAATTCTTCCCTCCTGCAAGCAATGGTTCCTATGTTCCTTGACACAAGGTTGCAAGTAGCGAGTCTCTACCGGGATTGTGCCTGTACCTCTTGACAATTTCGAGAGTCGTCCTTCCTTGCGTATGCTGCCTATCAAACTACCTATAGGTATACCATTACCTGGAGTATACCTGTAGAGGGCTTCAGGAGTTGTTCTACTCCCCCGGGCCCGGCCCAGGCTCGACTTGCGGTAACTTGGTCCACCAGGCTGTTGCTTGGAGCGGCCCGCAGGCCCACATACCCACTACAGCCTGGTTGGTCCGGCACGTCTTGCTAGGCACTTGTACATTATTCATAAACTACAAGACAGCCGGTAACAAGATGCTCCTCCAACACTCATCTTGGGTCACCAGCTGTGGGAGTGGGGCGTCTCATCTTGGGTCACCAGCTGTGGGAGCGGGGCGTCTCATCTTGGGCCACCAGCTGTGGGAGTGGGGCGTCTCATCTTGGGCCACCAGCTGTGGGAGTGGGGCGTCTCATCTTGGGCCACCAGCTGTGGGAGTGGGGCGTCTCATCTTGGACCACCAGCTGTGGGAGTGGGGCGTCTCATCTTGGGTCACCAGCTGTGGGAGTGGGGCGTCTCATCTTGGGCCACCAGCTGTGGGAGTGGGGCGTCTCATCTTGGGTCACCAGCTGTGGGAGTGGGGCGTCTCATCTTGGGCCACCAGCTGTGGGAGTGGGGCGTCTCATCTTGGGTCACCAGCTGTGGGAAAGGGGCGTCTCATATTGGGCCACCAGCTGTGGGAGTGGGGCGTCTCATCTTGGGTCACCAGCTGTGGGAGTGGGGCGTCTCATCTTGGGTCACCAGCTGTGGGAGTGGGGCGTCTCATCTTGGGTCACCAGCTGTGGGAGTGGGGCGTCTCATCTTGGGTCACCAGCTGTGGGAGTGGGGCGTCTCATCTTGGACCACCAGCTGTGGGAGTGGGGCGTTTCATCTTGGGTCACCAGCTGAGGGAGTGGGGCGTCTCATCTTGGGCCACCAGCTGTGGGAGTGGGGCGTCTCATCTTGGGCCACCAGCTGTGGGAGTGGGGCGTCTTATCTTGGGCCACCAGCTGTGGGAGCGGGGCGTCTCATCTTGGAGTAATGTTTCTAACATTGGGTCCTCTAACATTAGGATGGTGTTCCACACCCTGATGGCTTGGTGCTGTAGTCTGATGTTTAGTGGCTGTGTGTTCAGGAGTTCCTGGAGCTCCTGGATTGTCTGGTCATATGGTGGACGGTGTTTGGCTGCTCTCCTTAGCGCCTTATCCCCCACTGCTTGTAGCTTATCTTTCTTGAAAGATATTTTACAGGCGGCTGGACTAGAGCCTTATATAAGTGTAGCTGAAACTTTGTGCCAAGACTTGGAGACCCGAAACGGGTTCCAAAGATTGTCTTCGCCTCGTTTATTGTGTTACGTGAATTCTATTATTAGAAGAGGAACCACATGTGGAATAGTGTCCAGGCCTCGACCCCTCAGACACCAGTGGGACAAATGAACGTTAAACCCCAGGAAGAAGTGTTCCACATTGAGAGAAGATGAAGAGCAGAAGGGAAGCTAATATAGCCACCTCCCTCACCGGTGTTTCCCCTCTGGCACCCCTCACTCTCTCCCCTCTCCCGACCGTTCCCCTTTCTGGAATTTATGTGCCCTTGTGTCAGATACTTGAGACGCCCTTCTCACTCTCCCCTCGCTCAACTTGCCCGGCACTCCCAGCCACCTCCCCTCACAGCGCTAGTCCACCTTCCTGCCCTCAGCGCCCCCACCACCACCACTTCACACCTCTCAGGCAACCGCTCGAGGGCAGGAGAGAGCACACCCCCGCTCAGAACCCCCACCACAGTCACCAGGGGAGTAACATGCAGGATATAATTAAGAGGGCGGCACTGTACATCAATGTGGCCAATGACCACCTAGCCACTCAACACCTTCATAATCCCTACAACCAGGTGGCCTGGGGAGAGGGGGCGGGGGGCGGGGGGGAAGTGAGAGGGGGGAAAGAGAGTGAAGACTGGAATTATCGGGGGAAAGCGCCAAGTCATTACGACTATATAGCACTGGGAAGGGGTCAGGATAAGGATTTGGGATGGGACGGTGGGGGAGGGGGTGGGGGGAAGGAATGGTTCCCAACCACTTGGACGGTCGGGGATTGAACGCCGACCTGCATGAAGCGAGACCGTCGTTCTACCTTCCAGCCCAAGTGGTTAGGTGGAAAGAGAGTGAGTGGAGGGGGTAGAGGTGGTGTGGTATGCGTGAGAACACCCAACCCCATGACCCCAGCTAGGGTGTTCCTACACACCACGACACACTCAGGGTGTATTGCTACACACAAGCGCCACCTGCTCGAGGGCGCTGCCCACAATATATTATCACAACATTATCGGCACAAGTCCAGGGTCGGGCACACCACCACGGCATGAATGTCAAGGCATGGATGGTGCCTCCTGGTGACTTCACTCGTGCCGGACCAACCGGGCTGTGGTGGGTATGTGGGCCTGCGGGCCGCTCCAAGCAACAGCCTGGTGGAGCAAACTCTCACAAGTCAAGCCTGGCCTCGGGCCAGGCTGTGGTGGGTATGTGGGGCTGTGGTGGGTATGTGGGCCTGCGGGCCGCTCCAAGCAACAGCCTGGTGGACCAAACTCTCACAAGTCAAGCCTGGCCTCGAGCCGGGCTTGGGCAGTAGAAGAACTCCCAGAACCCCATCAACCAGGTATCCAGCAGAGAGTTTTGAGGACTCTTATTAAGCAGTAACTGATGCTATCATTGGTGGTGTTCAGGTGCCAACACACACACACCCGGCTGACACTCCAGCATGTAACAAGCCCCAGAGACAATTGCAGCAACTAGTGTGTACAACCAGGTGGTCCATATTATGTGACAGGTGGCCCACCACCACCTGCACCCCCACCAACATTACAAGGCCACCACCACCACCTGCCACACCACTCAACCTCCATCTAGCCTGGATGCTCCCCATCTTAAAAGCTATAACCCACAAACATTATTGCTCTACACTGACTAGTGCTGCTGCTGCTGTTTCAGATTTAGCTACTCAGAACCATGTAGCACGGGCTATGGTGAGCCCGTAAACTCACTAGTGCTCGAGACATTAAGATAAACCTGCATAGATACCATGTTGTGACCTCATAGTGACGTCACACACCGCATATACAAGATTTAATATGTCTATTTACGTCAGGCGAGGGCCAGGTCGTGGACCCTACTCTCGGATGAATGAGGCCTCACCTGCGACACGTCCCACACCAAAGTAATTAGCAGGCAACACTATTCATCTCATTCTCTCGCCCGCACGCACGCACGCAGTATACCAAGTATAACCACCACTACCACCAGTATAGTAACCACAGTTCACTACTCCAACTCTTCCCTCTCCCTCCCAATCCCCACTTCACCCCCCACGTTAGCCTCTCCATCTCCCTAGACCCATGCTTCACCTTTTAACCCCCCTCCCCTTATTATTTCCCACGCCTCGCCAGTTGTTCCCACGCCTCGCCAGTTGTTCCCACGCCTCGCCAGTTGTTCCCACGCCTCGCCAGTTGATCTTACACCCCGCCACCGTCACTGGAGCAGACCACTGTGCATGCCCCTTGTATCGTACCGCCACCTTGGCAAGCGGTGAACCAGCTACCTAGAAGCCGCCACCAAGCCTTACCCCGCGAGAGCAGGTAGAGGCCCCGAGGTGCACACAAGAGCCCAGAAGGAAGAGGGAAGCAGGGCCCGGGTGTTAAGCGGGGGAGGAGGAGGAGGAGTTAGTGAGGGAGAGAAGGAACGTGAGGCAGCCACTACTCACCGATGTATTCACGTCCCTCGTCGAGGCGACCAACTGAAACTGATCAATGTGATACAGTATAAGACTATTAACACTGGACATGAATGGCATGGGTTGTATTCACAGTATATATTGCACCACAAGTCCCCACCACCACCACCACCACCACCACACACTCAAATACAAAGATCTGGGGGTTGATATCACACCCAACCTCTCCCCGGAGGCCCCACATCAAAAGGATATCATCAGCGGCACGTGCTAAGTTGGCTAACATAACAACTGCCTTAGGAAACGCGTGTAAGAAATCGTTCAGGACCTTGCATACCACTTATGTCACACCAATTCTGGAGTATGCAGCTCCTTTAACCTAGTTAAACACAAGACAATGTTAGAGAAGATTCCGAGGTTTGCCACCAGACTAGTCCCAGAACTGAGAGGTATGAGCTACTAGGAAAGGTTAAGAGAGCTAAACCTCACGTCCCAGGAAGACAGAGTAAGGGGAGACATGATAACATCGTACAAAATTCTCAGGGGAATTGACAGGGTGGACAAAGACAAACTCTTCAGCACGGGTGGGACACGAACAAGGGGACACAGGTGGAATCTTAGTACTCAAATCAGCCACAGATACATTAGAAATAATTTTTCAGTGTCAGAGTAGTTAACAGGTGGAATGCATTAGGCAGTGATGTGGTGGAGGCTGACTCCATACACAGTTTCAAGTGTAGATATGATAGAGCCCAGTAGGCTCAGGAACCTGTACACCTGTTGATTGACAGTTGAGAGGCGGGACCAAAGAGCCAGAGCTCAACCCCCGCAAGCACAACAAGGTGAGTACAATATAGGCCCAATCTTTCTAACCGCACAGACCGTTCGCACCACTGCCACGCACAAAACTAAGGGGTTTTGTGCGTGGCAGAAGTGGAACGCGAGTTATGGAAGCTCTTGTGTAGTGATGTAGCAGCCAAGGGCAGTTAAGAGTTGTGTTAAGGAACAAGATGAGTAGTGAAGTGTCCAGCCAAGTCATTAGGGACATGTGGGGGTGTGTATGGGTGGACCTCCGCTAAGACCAGGATCATTAAAACTAGTTTAAAACTGGTTTTAAACTGACATGTCGTGTCGTATCCGTCGTAGACAAAGTCGTAGTGTCGTACACATGTCGTAGCTCAGTCGATTAAGGCAGTGTCTAGGATGCTCCCGGACGCAGGTTCGAATCCTCGTCACGCCCCTTGTGTGTGTTCAAAGGTTGAGTAGTGAGGTGAAGGCAGATAAGGGGGAGGAAGACTTAGTGGACAGGTCTTAGCATTCATTCATTCATTTCTTTATTATGCACCCCATACCTCGTCCCGTGGGCGGTTCAGGTGTTGTCGTAACGTTGAATTACCTGATCTGAGATTAAGGCTCTGCTTGTAATAGTCAGTGACGGCTTCAGATATTGGTCACACCCCCCCCCCTCCCCCCCACTGTAACAAACTACTGTACTTTGTAACTTCAGAAAGATTGTGTAACCTTTACACAATACTCAGGCTTTGATAAAAAATAAATTATGCTCACCTACTTGCGCCTGAGGAGTCGAGTTTCAGTTTTTTGGGACCTTGTATTTCTAGCCACTCGCCCGAATGCAATGACTCAAAATAGATTTGTATTGCCATGTTTAGTTTTGAAATTGTGTGTGGGGGGGGGGGGAATTATGATCTACCATACTTGGTAGATCTACCATATATTATGGGTACACACGGTAGCCATAATAGTTTGTCATCCTTGCTGGTATGTTGGTCTCGCCCGTCTGTGTGTGCTCCAGGGGTCGGATTCACGAAGCAGCTACGCAAGTACTTACGACGTGTACATCTTTTCTCAATCTTTGGCGGATTTGTTTACAATTATTAAACAGCTCTGAAACACCAGGATGCTGTTATAACAATAACAACAGCTGTTTGGCAAGTTTTCATGCTTGTAAACTTGTTTTCATAAATGTAAACAAAGCCGCCAAAGATTGAGGAAAGATGTACACGTTCGTAAGTTATTGCTTAAGTGCTTCGTGAATCCGGTTCCAGCTTACGGGAGAGCCTCAGGTGATACATTGTGGGATAGAATGGAATGGAACTATCATGGGAGAGCGCCAAGCCATTACGACTATATAGCACTGGGAAGGGGTCAGGATAAGGATTAGGGATGGGACGGCGGGGAAGGAATGGTGCCTAACCACTTATGGACGGTCGGATTTGTGGGATAGATGGAGTCTGCCCGTCCACCCCTTGTGTCCCTGTCTGTCCCACTGTATCCGTCTGGGTCTGTCTTCCCCCGTCCCATACTGTGTTGAAGCGACTTATTAAGATGAAGGGAAATAGGCCTATTTATTTTAAAGTAATCTCGTCAAAGCTCTTAAGTGTTAGGGTTTTGAAAGTGCTCAGGCCTATATATATATATATATAAATTCATATATGGTAATAAATCCACTACGGGATCACCATAGCCCGTGCTACTTGGAACTTTTTGTTCCAGGTAGCGAATCTTTAACAACAACATTGTATTTATATTTTAGCAGTTTTGTAAGGTGATTAGTACGTAGCTGCTGCTGTTGTTTGATTCGCTACTGGGAACAAACAGCTCCAAGTAGCACGGGCTATGGTGATCCCGTAGTGAACTTGGTAGGCCTATGATGACGTAGCCTATTAGAGGCTGGGGGGGGGGGGTATTAACCCATGGTGTAGGCATCTGCGTCACTGTTAGGGCCTAACATAAGCCTAAGTCACCTGGTAAAGGGATTTAATTACTTACATGGTAATGTATTGACTTCCATTAACACAGTTATCAGGCCTATCATTCAACCTGTCCTCACACTTATCTTGAGGGTCTTGAAATGGTTTCGGGGCTTTAGTGTCCCCGCGGCCCGGTCCTCGACCAGACCTCCACCCCCAGGAAGCAGCCCGTGACAGCTGACTAACGCTCAGGTACCTATTTTACTGCTAGGCAACAGGGGCATAGGGCGAAAGAAACTCTGCCCATTGTTTCTCGCCGGCGCCTGGGATCGAACCCGGAACCACAGGATCATAAGTCCTGCGTGCTGTCCGCTCGGCCGACCGCCTGGGATCGAACCCGGGACCACAGGATCATAAGTCCAGCGTGCTGTCCGCTCGGCCGACCGACACAGATAGTATTTAGCACGGCCAACACAGGTGGAAACTTAATGCCTCTCGGAACCATTGGAAATCATTTTCTGTGTCATTAGCCAATAAATGGAATATGCACTAATGGATGACCATACACAGTTTCAAATGTACATGTAATTGAGCCCAGTTGGGTTAGGAACCTGTACACGGCCTGGTCGAGGACCGGGCCGCGGGGACGCCAAGCCCCGGAAGCACCTCAAGGTACGGGTTGAGTGACAGGTGAGACGGGACCCGAGAGGTGAAGCTCAACCCCGTGGCAAGCACAGTAGGTCATCACCCCTCACCACACCCTTGGTCGTCCTCCAGGAAGTTGGTCGCCCCCCCCCCCCGACCCCTCACTAACTCTGCTCCCCATATACGCCACGCTTCTTCTGCCAGGGAGAGGGGAGAGAGAGAGAGGGGAGAGAGAGAGGGAGAGGAGAGAGAGGGGAGAGGGAGAGGAGAGAGAGGGGAGAGGGAGAGGAGAGAGAGGGGAGAGAGAGAGGGAGAGGGGAGAGTGGGGAGAGAGAGGGAAGGGATGCCAGGAGGACAACTCAAAGAGATGGCAAACAAGATAAGCCCAATGAAAACATCCCACTGGCTCATGCTCCCCCCCCCCCCCTGCCTCACACCCTCACGTGTACTCACCTAAACGTGCTGGCAGGGACAAACTTGCCGCACGAATGCCCTCGGATGTGTAGTAATACAGAACAATATACAACACCAGAACACAGGAATGAATTAAACAACAGAAGCGTAGTAAAATAACAACGTACTGGAGTGAACGATATGGAAGAAAATGCAGAATAGAACCAGTGAAGAGCAGAGGTGCCATAGGCACAATCAGAGAACACTGTATAAACATCAGAGGTCCGCGGTTGTTCAACGTCCTCCCAGCAAGCATAAGAAATATTGCCGGAACAACCGTGGACATCTTCAAGAGGAAACTAGATTGTTTCCTCCAAGGAGTGCCGGACCAACCGGGCTGTGGTGGATATGTGGGCCTGCGGGCCGCTCCAAGCAACAGCCTGGTGGACCAAACTCTCACAAGTCAAGCCTGGCCTCGGGCCGGGCTTGGGCAGTAGAAGAACTCCCAGAACCCCATCAACCAGGTATATGTGGGCCTGCGGGCCGCTCCAAGCAACAGCCTGGTGGACCAAACTCTCACAAGTCAAGCCTGGCCTCGGGCCGGGCTTGGGCAGTAGAAGAACTCCCAGAACACCATCAACCAGGTATATGTGGGCCTGTGGGCCGCTCCAAGCAACAGCCTGGTGGACCAAACTCTCACAAGTCAAGCCTGGCCTCGGGCCGGACTTGGGGAGTAGAAGAACTCCCAGAACCCCATCAACCAGGTATATGTGGGCCTGTGGGCCGCTCCAAGCAACAGCCTGGTGGACCAAACTCTCACAAGTCAAGCCTGGCCTCGGGCCGGACTTGGGGAGTAGAAGAACTCCCGGAACCCCATCAACCAGGTATATGTGGGCCTGTGGGCCGCTCCAAGCAACAGCCTGGTGGACCAAACTCTCACAAGTCAAGCCTGGCCTCGGGCCGGACTTGGGGAGTAGAAGAACTCCCAGAACCCCATCAACCAGGTATATGTGGGCCTGTGGGCCGCTCCAAGCAACAGCCTGGTGGACCAAACTCTCACAAGTCAAGCCTGGCCTCGGGCCGGGCTTGGGCAGTAGAAGAACTCCCGGAACCCCATCAACCAGGTATATGTGGGCCTGTGGGCCGCTCCAAGCAACAGCCTGGTGGACCAAACTCTCACAAGTCAAGCCTGGCCTCGGGCCGGGCTAGGGCAGAAGAAGAACTCCCGGAACCCCATCAACCAGGTATATGTGGGCCTGTGGGCCGCTCCAAGCAACAGCCTGGTGGACCAAACTCTCACAAGTCAAGCCTGGCCTCGGG